TATATGCAGGTATGACATATTCTACAAGAAGTAGCCTAAGGACTACTTGCTTTACTGTTATGCGCATGTTTCATAAGATGACATACTTTAACTTTTAACTTCTATGTGTTCTCTGTCGAACTTATGTTGTTACTAAGCAATTAATGTATGGATTTGTGTTTAAACTACCACTGATGTTGCCATGCTACCATTGATGCTGCTATACTACGGATGTTGTTGTTGTACTACTGTTGCTGAATGTTTCCTTTACATTGATCCTAATTATATGCAGGTATGACATATTCTACTACATGATGTTTCTAAGAAGTATGCGGCTGCAGATTCAGTTAGATTGTTTCATTAAAAAATACAACTATATATTTTGCAAAAGTAATGTATTAGCAGAAGATTCTCCTAAGATTATGATGCATATACTGGAAAATAATTTCTACTAATTAGAATTACCTTGGACGAAACTAGAGGAATTATGCAGGAGTCCCCTTTCTACAAATTGAAATGAATGAAGGAGCGGGCGGTGGCGATGGAGTAGTTGTAACGGCATTCGGTGTTTCCGTTCCTTCCATGTGAAACATACAAAGGAGAAGACAATGCTGTGGAGCAATTTGTAGCCTCGGCATGCATGTTGGGATTCTTCGTTTTCGACGCGCTGCCAAAATTTTCGGTGAAAATCCACATGACTTGTCAAAATTTTGGCCTTGTTTGTAAGGAAACAAAAACTTGAGGGTGCTCGTTGCAGGCCTTGTTTGGATGGAAAGAAAAACTTGAGGGTGCTTGTTGCAAAATGTTAGGGTCTTGGCTGCTTTTTAAAATAAGCTTTTGCCCCCTTTGTAAACTAGTAAGCTTGCACGTGCAACACATGTCTCATTCAAGTTCAGAATGTGAATATGCAAAGCTTCGAATGTCAATCCACATTAATTCCACTATGCAATGACATGTAGCACCTTCCATATACTATGTAGTTTAAATCATGGTAGGATCTACCTAAAGCTTATATCCATTAGACAGATGACATCTGGTGCAACACCGAGCCGACATGTGGTTCCATTGGAGAATGAGAATTTGACACGTGGAAAATCGTCATTGGTTCGGGCTGTTAACGGGTTATTGAATCCAAACATGTGATTACCCTTGACGAAAATACTTCCATGACGCCCATTTATCGTCATGGAAGTGGACACTTCCATGATAATAATTTGAATATTGTCATGGAACATTTCTACGATAGCACATGTATGACTATTTTGATTTTTTTCATAAAATTTTCATAGATGTACATGCATGACAGAAAACGTAACCTACCATGACAAACACGTATCATCACAGAAGTATTTTTTTGTAGTGAAAGTAGATATGTTTGAGATGTATCAGAGGAGAAAGCAAATTGATGTTAAATACCATTATGTTCAAGACATTGTTGCTCAAGGTAAACTAAATGTATGCAAGAATAGTACTGATGATAATCCCGCTGATATGATGACAAAGCCAGTTCATGTTGCTAAGTTTGAGCTTTGCTTAGACTTAATTGGTATAACTCAATAGCCCTAGTGGTTGTTTGGCGCCGAAAGTGTGTTCTTTGTTTATTCAGGAAAAAAGTTATTATTGATGCTACAAGATGGAATTTGTCTCAACGTGGAGTTTGTTATTGTGTGCTCCAAATTTACATATATAACTATACGGCTAACTTCTGATGAGCGGAGC